TACGCGAGTTCATTTTATGTCTGACGAAAAAGTGATAAAGAACGATAAATTTGGGAAGATCGATATTTTTAGTTATTTTATAATTATAATTATTACATAATTATTATAATTATTATATAATTATTATATAATTATATTTTTATTTTATTTTATAATCGAAATTTTATATTTTTAATTCTTCTATGATTACTTTATAATCGAAATTTTATATTTTTAATTCTTCTATGATTACTTTATAATCGAAATTTTATATTTTTAATTCTTCTATGATTACTTTATAATCGAAATTTTATATTTTTAATTCTTCTATGATTACTTTATAATCGAAATTTTATATTTTTAATTCTTCTATGATTACTTTATAATCGAAATTTTATATTTTTAATTCTTCTATGATTACTTTATAATCGAAATTTTATATTTTTAATTCTTTTATGATTACTTTATAATCGAGACTTTACATTTTTAATTATTTTATAATTGAAGCTCAGTGGAGTTTTATTTGCACGTAATAAAATTGTCAATTCCAACGAACGGAGAACAGAATGGATCCTACAACCATCCAGGAAATCCATAACGTTTAATTGGTTAATTAGAGATCGGTTTGATAATTGGAGGAATGGTGCATCCCTCGTGGCGAGTTTTAAGGCGTTAAACGGAGCGTAAACGGAGTCTTACGAGCGCGTAGTTGAGATTATGTATGTTCGATGAGCAGAGAGAGAGAAGGAGAGAGGAACGGAGAATTCTCGTCGAGGTAACGAACGCGTTTCCATCAAACCGCGTCGGTCGTTCAATTATCCGAGACATCGTAACGAGGAAGCGTTGATTTATCGTCGAGTCGATGAAATACGCGCCTATGATAGGTACATATGTTGTGTACAACGCAAAACTCGCGAAAGTATTTGAACACTCTCTGTACCGTGTTATGTAAAACTGCGATGAGAAAGAACTATCGACTTCACGATTCTATTGACGAAATTTGAAATCAGTCTGAAAATCTAGGCAGAAGTTACGGGATATTTATTTACGTATGTCTAGCAAAACGTTGGTATCTAGTGTACAATTATTTTAAGTGAATGTTACAATAACTGAATATTAAGGCTAAATATTGTTAATACAACTGATGTTATTTTATTATGTTGTACTACACAAAGCTTACTAATGGTTATACAAGGTTCATTAATATAATTGATATTATTTTATTACATTTGTATATATTTTATTATATTATTATATTATATATTGTATTATATTATTGATGAGTGGCTGTTTAAATATTTTTCTATTAAATCTATGCTTGTATCTTGCTTTGTAACTTTCATATATATTGTGGAATTTGTTTCAAATTCGACCAATAGTAATATTTACGAAATTATATTTCACATAACACACGTAAGTATATTCAGAAAAAAAGTTCCTTCGAGTACATTATATAAGTATATATTGTTCTACGAATAATTCACTAGTACACACTAGTGAACAGCTATCTTAAACGTAATTGTGACTGTTTAAATACTCGCGTCGAACGTTCTTTCTATACACGTGTTTTCTAGATTCAAACCGTATGATCGTGATAGTAACACACGTTATATATATAATATATTCGTCAGAAAGTTTCCACGAGCGTTCAAACACCTTTCAGTGGGCAGAACTGATTGCGGACCATAACGAGTGACCAAACGTAGTATACAATAATTCGTCGCTTTCTTTTCGAACTCCTCGGTACGGTGATATATATCTACTAGATAGAAATGATCGAGAAGTAATAAATTTATTATTTGTTTTGGTTATACTTCGATATACTTATAAACTGAGGAAATATTGCAGTTTTGGGACACAAAAGAGTTCTCGTCATTCCGGCGCATGAGGTTAATGAACGACGAGGATAGAAAGATTCGCGAGGGGAAGCCGGGCGTTGCGTCGTTTAATTAGAGTGGAACGATGATATTCGATCGATCGCGAGTTTAACGACTTCTTGCTTCGGCGATACGACGGAAGCGCATACGACACGGTCGATAGAACGACGTAATGCCGCTCAAGAAGAATGTTAATTGAATGTAATTAGAAAATCTATTACCAGAGAAGGAGGAGGTGGGAGGGGGGGCTGGACAGAGAACGTGTAGACGGGGGGATGACTTAGGAGTGGCGTCCTCGAATTTATAAATCATATTACCGGTTAAGCCTCGGGGGAACGAGCGGTAATTGTACGCAGCCGATGGTCGTTTCTTCAGCATCGAGAGCTGAGGACGTTGAACGAAAAGGGACAGCTCGCATAAACGCACGTACGTGACGTCACTGTGAGACTCGGACACGCGTGATTTACAGATTAAGCCTTCTCTCGAAGTGGAAAGGAGGAAAATTATTTGCGTATAATATTTAATAATGTAATTATAATTATTGTACATAATTATGTATATATAATTTGCATATTTATATGATATGTTATATATAGCAATTCCAATTTAATTGAAGCCCGATTATATCGAGTTTCCTGTAGTGTGATACTTTTCGATTATAAAAATTTATAATTTATAATATATTTGTTAACGATCCCAAATTTAATACTTTACATTGTAGTTTGTAAAGAAAGAAGGATACCTGCAAATATATCTTCTGGTACAGCTATTATGTTATATTTTACGAAAATAAAACAAGAAGAATTCATCATTATTTTCTATAAATATTTTAACAATTTACTCTACAATTTTATAAGCATAATCTCATAAAATTCAAGTCAGCAGTTTAAACAGAAGAAGAAATGACAATTTGAAAGAACGGAATTGGATCATGAAGAAAATTGCAAGTGAAATGTTACAATCATTGGCCATAAAATAATTCCATTGTTCGTACATGACGAAGAGTTACATAAATAGTCGTTGTTTAAAGTAGCCTCTCTCGGAGGAAGAAAAAGATCAATAGAATCGATTATTAACTTCCGCGCAGTTTGAACAAGAAATAATCATGCTCTATCCATCGTTACTACAGCATCATTTGTAAACACTTGGAACAGAGTCTCGGAATGATCCAGATGGAAACTGTGTTGCTAATATCAGCTATCGTATCAAGACATCAATCGAAGCACTAATCAACGATGATATTCTTCATCCTGACTGAATCGATCGTACAGGATTGAGAAATAATTTTAATAATAACGATGCTGATTATTTTTAGGTTATTTAAGATAACATCGAGTCAAACAAGATGATGATATCGTTAAATAATAATGTAATGAAATGTACTATAAATTAACGTATTATTTGATCTCATACCCAATTATTTCTAGGTATTTTAAAAATAATTTTATCTCGAGGTAACATCGAGTGAAATAAAAGACGGTGTACTGTGAAATGATAACACACAAGCGTAATACAAAATAAATTAAATAACGTCGTAAGATTGAATGACAATTCTTTAAGTCGCTCAATAACATTCAGATAATCGTAAAATTATTATTTTATTCAAATGATGTCTAGCCACGTTCAAATGAACTCGTTCGAAACCATTCAGACACTCCCCCTTTCCTTCTCTCTTTCGAAAAATTCGAGCAGAGAAGAAACGAAAATAAAGGATCGTCACGCACGAACGACTCCTCCATTAATCGAACTGTTTCGCTAATGAAGCCTTGGCGTAATGGAACCTTCTCAAAACTATGCTGCTCCCCCGTAGCTCGTTCGTAGGAAAAAAAAAAAAAAAAAAAAAAAAAAGAAAAAAGAATAAAGGATTGCACACTTTTTAATTGCTCGTACCAAAGTAGAGTCCGCCACCCCTCACTCGCAATCAGTTTCTCTCTTCGCCTTTTTTGTCTGGTCGTCGCTGTCCCCCTTTTTTTTTCTTTCCAAGCAAGCAGCACGCGACAAAGCGCGTGCCACGCATCAAGCCGAGAGACGCGCGGCCCTCGTTACGTAGAAATCAGCGCAGATTTATCGAGCAAATTGGATCGAGTCCTTCCGCCGTGGGGACCGAGCCCAATGTTGTCCGCCTGTCGGCAGAACCGCTAAAGAACAATAGTTCTCAACCCTTTTCGCTTCTCGGAAGTGGCTGACTCGACTCGCCGGTATGACTAAGGGCCGTGCACTGCGCGCAATTAAGAGGCGTGGATCGAGGGGTGGGTGGTAGGCGCTTGCTCGTTGAAAGAAATTGAGGTCTCCGCGTAATTTTATTGTATTTTCTTCACCTAATTTCATTTTAGTGACAGTTAGAATTAACAGGTTCTTAGACTCTACTACTCTACAGAGAAGTTGGTACATACAAATCATAGTTAATTTTTTTTTTTCTTTTTTTTTTTTTTTTTTTTTTTTTTTTTTTTTGAGATTTTGATCTATTCTGTAGTTGATGTTGGTAGAATTGGTAGAGTATATATATAATACATAATAGATAATATAAATCCTTTCTATTATAATATATAATAGATAGGAATGTAATATACAACAGAAAGGATTGAAGATCGAAATTATCACAGTTTCATCTAACTGCGTTAAAAAAGAAGAAGAAGCCATGTTCAGAAAAATTACGATTAACACTAGATCAGTCGATCTTTAATGCGTATGAAATTATCCTACGTATGAGTGATGGTAATTAAAATAAATAGACGTACATTCGTTTAGACAAAAATGTCCAAAAGTGTCTTTTAAGCAGTTGCGAAAAAAGAAATCCGTCGCATTGGCGAGTTGTTGTAAAATTACAAAAATTTTGTCACATTCGTATATTTTTCGATTATCGAATACTTGGTAAAGATGGTACGTTACCGTGTTCATTGACCAACTAAGAAAAAAATCATTCGTTATATTTTTGTTTATCAAAGCAGGCTGGTGTCAGTGCAACAAACAAGCTTGACGTTCCCAAAAGTACGCCATTTGAAAAATGCGTGCAGATGGGTAATTACTTGAAAAAGTTAAAAAAGTTAAAAAAAGAAGGGAGGATACAGTATTATAAAAATGTAACAACACCGAACCGGATCGATGAGTCTAACTAATAAATGGGAATCGTTCCGTTTGTTTCAGGGTGTTGAAACCCCCTGGTGGCGGAAGCAGTGATATTTTCGGCGCGGGTCCCGACGAGACTAGCCCTCGCCGCGTGAAGAACCACAACCAGTCTCAGCTGGGCTCGGCGTTGTTCGGCGACACGCCGAACAACAGCAACAGCAACGAAACGCCGCGCAACAAGCCCGGTAATGATTCATACAATCGCCTGTTTGGCCCTCCCGATGCCCCACCCACCATCCCAAACGCGAAAAATTACATGCGCAGCAATATCTCCCTCAGCGGGGAGTCGACGTCCTCATCGGTGTCATCAGGCGCCGCAACGTCGCCCGCGAAGAGCACCGGAAGTACGGACTCGATCGCGGGCGTTCTCAACGGATACACAGCCAGCAATGGCAACAATATGACCAACGATGTCACAGGTAAGGGTGTTGTAAATTCTCCTTCCTCGGCAAAGAAAAGAAAAGAAAAGAAAAAAGAAAAGAAAAAGAAATACAGAAAAAAAGAAAGAAAACAATAAAGAAGACAGAAACGCATCCACGACACCCCGCCCTCCTCCTGACGACACCCACACCCCGCAATTATGTACGTTGAAGGGAAGGAAAAAAAAAAAAAAGAGGATTTGGTCAGGTGAACTGGTGTACGGTGCGAGCGCGAGAGAACGCGGCTACGAGCTTTTCTTCTGGGCACTAGCGTGTTCCGTGCGTTCTCAGCATTAGTGCGTTGTGATATTCTTTTTTTTCTTTTTTTTCTTTTCTTTTTTTTTTTTTTGTCTTTT